CCATGAATTCCTCGGGGCAGATGCACCATCATCACACAGGAGAGAAGCCGAATGAAACACGGTGGGAGCAGGTGAAACTGCTCCACAACCGTTTCCAAACGACTAAGTACAAGAGGGCTCCAGGTGGGCTGCGTCTTTTAACAACAGGAACCTCATCTGATCTAACGTTCAAACTGAGAGATAGCTTCCTTTAGACAATGACTGACAAGCGGCACAGAGGTAGCTATTTCCCCCGAGTACAGAATGATCTCCTCACTTCCGCCCCGCCACCAAAAGTCCAGGCTGGAGTGGGTAGACTGGATTCCCCCCCCTGGGCAGCTACTTCCTCCGTCATCTGTCACCAATTCCTGTGTGCGATGAGCAGGTAATGACAGCGTGCAGGTGTTGCAAGCCGGGTGGTATCACACTGCAGAGCGCAAAAACACGCCGCTTCACCCCCTGAAACTCTTTCATTTCCAAATCTTTTTTTCTTATTTTGCTGATTTTTCCACCTCCGACTTATTCACGCGAGCGAGTTCTCGTGTGCGCCGACGGGTCAAACGCAGCCGTGTCATGTGCAAGCGGTCCTCTGAACCAAGCTAAAATGATTACACATTGGCCGTTTCTCAGATATTTGTTCTGCTGCACTGCACATAGAAATTGATGTTCCATGAACCCTGGATATTGTTCTCATAAGGTCATGGTTTGGAATTTCATGTAGGTGATGAATGGTTGCGGATTCACCGAGGAGCTTATGAGTAAGTCTTCCGCTGTACACGGCTTATTGGACGATAACAGTCACCAGAGATCTTCCACCGTGATCAGTTTTTCTTGACGTATTTACAGATTTTGCTATAATTACACCAGTTTGCCTTCAAGTGAGTCGGTGACAGACCCAGAGCTGGTTGGAAACATCAACCTGGTTCAAGTGAACTTTCCTTTGTGGCTTCCCAGCAGTGTGTAAAACCACCGCCATGGTTTGTTATGACAAAGGTCACGGATAAAGGATGATCTGCCTACAGTTCCCTAATGTGAGAACAAAGACTTTGTCAAAATATATTCCAGCAATAGAGCGAGCGGGGGATAGGTTACATTGTTTTGGGGATAGGTTTTCCAGACGGAGCGATGTGAAGACAGGCCCTGGCTGTGGATTTACTGGGACTCGTTCTAGTCCGTTAATCCTTGTATCTCTTTGACTCTTTCAGCAGGTTCCTCGGCTGGTAAGCCTTACAGGCTCTGAGGTGGCTGCCCTTCCTGTGCTCACCAATAATTTCCCAATGAGCCTGTTTCCACTGCTGGAATGGAGGGAAAACGAAGCTTAAGGGCGATTAAAGAAAATTATACGTTGGGCGAAAACAACAACTGGTGGGAAAGCTGGTGAAAAAGTTTTACTCTCAGGTATTTTATCACAGATCAGAGTTTCTATTTGAACTAAATTATAAATAAAACAAAGTGCTGCAGGAATAAGCGTCTCCACATTTTTCATGCGCTGATGTGGCTCCTGTTCTGTATAAAATAATCCATATGGCCGTTGGTCCGGAGCGGGGATCCCACGCCAGAATCGGCCCATACGTTAGGACGTTTTATGGGCCTCGGATGGGGAATGATGAAACCGAATCAGGTCACGCCAATTGATAGACATTCTCCTCAGCTATCACTTGCACACACAATCCTTTAAAGTGCGGCCCCCCTCCCCCCGTCCTGACAACCGCACAGTTGCTTCCCCAGAAGCTGTCATCATATTGTTCTCTTAAATATTTAACTTCCTCAAGAGATTGAGCTGTAATATAAGAAATTATCCCTATAATGCCCGCTGACTGCTACAAACAGATGTGAAATTTCAGGGTCGACCCAGACTGTAATCAGCCCCCCCTCTGGCCCGGCTATCAGGTTCTCCACCGGGGTCAGACGGCGGAGTCTCCCTTTTCATATTGCGCCTCAGATTTGTCTGTAAGGTCGTGTTATATGAGCTGTGGAGAATTATTAGGCTGCCGACATGTCTTTTTTTATTTGAAATCCCGAATGCTGTACAAACCAACAAACTGCCCAGAAAGCACATTTTAAAGTTGCTCTAAACCTCTGCGTCGTGGAATTAAGTTGTCAGCGCGCGACGTTGTGCCAGAACCCGCTCAGCACACATTAGAAATCAGGTCTGGCAGCGAGGGAGGGTTAGGAGTCTTGTTCTAGTTGCTTATTTATCAGTTGTGATCTCGCTTAACAGCTAATGGGAGTTAAGTTTCTCACTTTGCTGACGGTAACTTTATCTGGCGGTGATACATCAGCGCAGCTCACGTCACTCACTGGCTACCGTGGACGAGCCTCCAGGTCCCAGTCGGCTCCTCTTCACGTCCTCCCAGCTCTCCTGTCGATGCTGCCATACGCTAACTAAACCGAATCAAAACAGAAGAACTGCTCCGTTGGCGTACCTGTACGTGCTCGTATATGGTCTCAGCTCTGCATAGTCGGCGCTGGACGGCTTTCTGGTGCATCCAGCCCCATAAAGAGAAAGAGGATTAAAAATAATCCAGTTCTGAAACACCGGCTCCTTCAATTATGAGCCAACCTCGCCTTTGGAGAAGTGACCCTTTGAGGATGAAACCCATCATTATGGGTTTAGCCCACTAGGCATGTGTGGGGACCGGGGCCACCCTTACGCCGAGGCATTCTGCTGGGTCTGGGCCTTCAGCCCCCGGAGCCAGGGGCCCTCAAGCAGGTAGCGCAGAGACAAGGTGGCCTGACTGATATTCATGTGGGCCAGGTAAATGTGCCCTTCAGGCACAGGGCACTGGAGCGTTACGCTTCTGAGAAATGAGAGGATCAAACTTGGAAAGCGAGGGGACGAACTCTTGCATGCAGGCTTGTGGTTTGACTTCAGTTTTGGAGAATGCATTAAAAAAGTACAGCAGCACCATGTAGAAATACTGAAAGTACCAAAAATAAAAGTACTTCAGGCTAATATTGTATCGTAATATTAAAAATGATTATTTGCTTTAACATAGAAGAACCCCGGCAGGATGGTTTAATCTATAATAAGCATCATTATTTATTTGTTGGTTATATTTTGCAATCTGAAGAGCAAGTTACCAAATAAAAGCTGTGGAGTAAAAAAGCATATTTGCTCCCAGATTGTACTCGAGTAGAACTACCTCACCGTGTGAATCCCACGACTGATTGATGTGTTTTTAAATAAAAGCGAATTGCTGTTTCCTCGCAGCTCCACGCCGAGCGCAAAAAAGCTGAAGTGAGGGATCAAGAAATGACAGTAATACGAACTAAAAGGCCTCCGAATATGAAAGGCTTCGTACTCCATTCACCGGACGTGATGAGGATTTCAACAGAAAACTTGTTACTGTGAGAACCCGCTCCTGTATGACAAAAATCCTCTTTGTCTGGTCCGTGGCCCTGCTCCACAGATAATAGAGCAAAATGTGGCCTGAGGGAGATAATTTGTTCCCAGATCTTCAGATCGCAATATTTTCATTTGAGCCCAGGAGGGGATCTCTTGAATTGCCAGCCTCCATTGTGTTCCAACAAGGGGCACGAAAGTCTTGTCAATTAATTTTTCTTTTATTCCAGACCACAGAGCGCCTGAGTGAATTCAATTATCAACCAATTAAGAGGTGTTTCCTTTTATTTACAGGCTTTGATTCCGTGCGTATCCATATTGTTTGGAAATAAGACCGAAGCAGGGTGTAAAATCACTTGAACATTTTCCTCTGCATGAGCTGTTTAATAGTTTTTTTCCCCTCCCAATAGCGGGGCTTTCTGTTTGTGTCCCCTTGGGTCACAAGCACAACAAAAGCACATTACATGCCGTTGAACTCTGTTGTCGGTTGTTTAGTGGATGCTCTTCCGCAGTGTTCTCCGATGCAAGACAGGAAAAAAAAAAAAGGGGGTTTCACACAGAGACACACACACGAGACCGAGAGCGTTTTGCGTGACAAGACTTTGGGAATAGATGGAGACAGGTGGGACACTCAGCCAACAGGTTAAGACCGAGCAGTCTGAGTCAAATCCAGCCCAGACAAAAAGCTGAACTTCTGAACCTCGTGGAAGTAAGTTAAAGGTCTGATTGCTTGTTAATGGGGGCTATTGGAAGTGACAAGCGGAAAATGTCTCTGTCTTACACACTTTACTGCTTACAGCCACTTGACTTCAGATTTCCTGACAGGCTCCTCGAGCGTTTTTACTGGTTTATTTACCACTTTCTTGGAATAAAATCTGGAATTGTGTGGGTTTTTTTGAGGCCCTGAGAGATACAGAAAGCACAGCGGGGTCTCTGAGATATTTTAAACGCCCGATTTAACTTGAAAATCGACAAAAAAGCCGGGCCTGCTGTGCTCTGAATGCAAAATTTGGAAAATAAAAAATAAAATAGATGTGTTTAGGGGTTGCTTTTACCCTGCATGTCAGCCAGTGATTGTACAAAAAATATCAAACAGCTAAAAATAAAAGATAAATATTCCCTGTTAAATGACAACATGATAAATAATGCATGGCTCAGTGGAACAGCTATAAAAATAGGAAGGGATTTTATTAGAAAAATCAAGAAAAGGAGTCTTGTACCTAAATGACGGCTCAAATAAATATCATTTTGAGTTACAGAAGCCGCCTCGACTGTTATTTCTCTTCGTGAGTGTTGTGCAAGTAGGAAAATGACACATAAGCCTTAAAAATGGAGTTAAAATAAATGTTTTTTTTTTATTCAAACACCAACATGAGTTTAAATAAAACACAATTCAGTCGAACATACAGGTCATGTGTTTTTTTTATGAAAATAATTTCTGTACATAGAAGTCTTCCTCTGTTTTGAGCAGCTACGATGTAAAATAAGTACAATTTCCACCCATCTGTGGAGAGATGAGTGACTTTAGTAGTTTTCTACAAATAAACACGTCTGTTGTACTGTTAGAATAGAACAAGGGGAGTTTATATTTATTTCTAATACACTGATTTATTTTTTCTCAGTTTGAGAGGGTCTCCAGTTCAGTTGTACAATGAGGCCAAACCATTAACAGAAGACTATAAGACACGTGAAGGCTACAAATGAGAGGTAAATGACTTTTACCCCAAATAATAACCAGACTACACCTCTGTTCCTTCCCGGTTGTATATGAGGTTATTCACGCTGAAGTGGTTGGACAGTCCCTGTACTGATGTGTAATAGTTCATCCTGCTGTTGTTGTCAGAGTTCAGAGGAGAGATTAAAGAGGGCGAGTAGGAGCCCAGCCCGGACATGCCCTCTCTGGCCTGAGACAATCCTCCGAGGTGCCCGGAGCCGTAGTCCCGCTCCGCGCCCCGGGACCCGTCGCTCCCCACCAGCGCGTTCACGCTGGACACGAAGCTGCTGAAACAGGGGCTGTGCTCGGCGGAGGGAGACGGCGACGACTTGGGCTCCGTGGAGGCCGGAGATCCGTGCAGGCTGGGCGGCGAGGAGCTCAGCAGGCTGGCGGTGTCGGACAGCTTGTGCGCACCGTCCTCCGTCTTGACGGGGAGAACGCTGCTGTCAGCTCCGTTCATGTCAGATCTCCTCTTCCTCTTGCGTCTGAAGTTGCCGTTGTCGAACATCTTCTCACAGTTGGGGTCCAGCGTCCAGTAGTTTCCTTTACCTGGGCGACGAACACAACAAGGGGTTAACTGCGGGCAGCACACGTTCAGTTTAATTCTCATGTAATTCATCTGTAATCTACATTTTCATCTTTAAAATCTCATCAAATTTCACAGTGAAGTGGAAGCTGTTGTTTCAATTATTTCAAAACTCTTTCAAGCAAAAAAAGCAGCATTAATTCAGCGCCACATATCTGATGCTAAATCCAGCAGCAGATTTAAAACAAATGCGCAATTTTGCCAAAACAACCCAAACACTCACCTGGGTCGTCCTCATCTCGGGCCACTTTTTTGAAGCAGTCATTCAGTGACAAGTTGTGGCGAATTGAGTTCTGCCATCCAGCTTTGCTCTTCTTGTAGAACGGAAAGTTGTCAGCCACATACTGATAGATCTGACTGAGAGTTAACTTTTTGTCCTGGGCGTTCTGGATGGCCATCGCTATCAGCGCCGAGTAGGAATAAGGAGGTCTGACCATCTTGAAAAGTTCCTGCTGGCTGGATATGGACAGCCAGCCGAGGTCCGCGCCTCCAAACCCGGTGGGAGGCGGCAAGAACTGCCTCTGGTTCGACCCGTATCCAGACTGAATGTAGGACGTGCCGTTGTTCCCGGGAAGGTAAGGAGAGGAGTTGATGCTCGGTCCGTTCAGCCACAGGTACGGGTTCGTGGACGGGGAGGAATATTCTCCGAGGCCGTAGCTGGAGGGGTGAGTCGGCGGCCTCTGAGGGTGGTGGTGGTGCAGGTTCTGTTGGTAAACACCGTAGTTATCGCAGTACACGGCCATGTCCAGGAGCTCCTGCGCGCTGTGGTGCTGAATGGGGCTGGTCTGCTGGTTAGATGGTTGGTGTCCAAAAGCGTTCATAATCCGCTCGAACCAGATTCCCAAAAACCTAATTTCGTCTCTCTGTCTCTCCCTCAGGACTGAAGTTATTCTCAGAAGGAGGAGTATTTATGCGCAGCGCCCACAGACTCTACAGGTAGCCCATTGAAGAAAAGTTTTGGGACGGTCACACCCCTCTCTCTGTCTTGCTACACCCAAGTGCTGCTCACTCAATTTCCCTATCAATGAGCCCCGACACCGCTTTTGACTGCAAAGTCGAGCTTCGTGTTGTTTGGAAAGTAAATCAGTTTGAAGGCACGTTAGTGATTTCTAACGACATCGATAACTGTGCGTAATTACGCACGGAGACTCGTGTTGGTTACGACGGTTTTTTTTAAAGACTTTTTAAAGGCAAAACTGGAGGGAAAAACAAAGTGCAGCGGAGACACAATCTGAACAAACATGAGAAATATTTCTTGCTGCCAAAATAAAGGTGTCCTGCAATCTAAATATAATTCTAATATTTTTTTTTCTTGATTTTTGTTGATTGATTAAAACTACAAGATCGCATTTGAGCTCATTTATAGCTCCCATGCATCTGTTTTTCAATTCATGTGCTTCAGCGTGACAAACTGCAAACAAGAAAGACTCGTGTGTGTGTTTGTAAAAAACAAACAAACAAACAAACAAACAAAAAAAGAACCAAAACGTATTCTTTTAGGAGAAAGTCGTTTGCAATAAACATTTAACAAGTTTAGTAAGTTTAGTGTCAACAAGTGACTCGTGCAAAAAAAAAAAAAGAATATTGCCAGCAGGCTCCTGAAGAAAACAAGTCGTCTAACCCTATAACGTGAAATAAGAAACAGAATTTGTAATTATGCCACATGTTTAGGTTATCACTACTTATATAAAATAAAACAAAGAAAAAACAAAACAAAACAAAACACCAACAGATCATTCAACAGAGTTTCTCCTACTTTAAAATTAGACTTTTTTTAATTTAAATCAACTTTTATCATTTAATTATGATGTAAAAGAATAAAATAAGATGAAAACAAAGCTTCATCGTGAACACTTCAACTTCAGAGCTCTAAAAGTGACCAGGGTGTCTTTATGGACCCTGAAAATCTGGTGCTACTGAAGGGAGCTCATAGAAATAATAATATTTTGCTCCAACACCGATTTGATTTTATGTGTTGGGTTAGAGGGGCAGCGCCAGGCCTGGATGTGTCCAACGGACCCCCTGCAGGAGGCAAATGGTCTGATTTTCGATTGAGAGGAAAGTGGAAAAGATGAGAACAGCCCACAGACACGTTTGGGAGCTTTTCTGAGTATTTTTCCAGTTAAAGCTGCGCACACACAAACCTGACAACACAAAACTAACAATCTACAGAGATTTCCACTTCTGCCAGTGACCTGTAATCCTCCTTATATGTATCTGTCTTTGTAGTGAGGCTGTGAATTGATCATTTGAAATGAGCAAAGGCACATATCCACGAGGTTTTACCCTTTGCTGTGGCTCAATAACATGATTTATGACTCACTAACACAACTGAAGCTTGGATTTACAAGAGAGCCCGACAAGTACATTTAGAAATTGAATTTATTAGTCGCCTTCCCGCTCAGGTCTGCTGTCATCCCTGTGAAAAGTGGACTCTGCAGGTTGCTGCCGGACTCCTGCACTAATCGGCAGAACATTCCTCCTCTCCATGACCTTGATGTAATTGTTTGGCTCCAAGGTGTTGTCCCGACCACAGGCTGTACAGCAGCGGCAAGCAACGGGCTCCACGGGGGAGAAGTGGCATTTAACCCCCAGATGAAAACAACACAACCTGTTAGGTGTCTAACACCCGGTACAGCTAATTACTACTGACTGGACATCTGAATCGGAGACAGTTCGAGCGAAGACTGCAATGATACTTCCATCTTTAGTCTGAGAGGAAGAAAATCAACGTATCTCTGGAGATAAACAAAAGCCTGGTCCTTTAAAATTCTATGAATAGGACTTTTTTTTTTTGTTATCTAATAGTTTTCATTGTGGCAAACCACTTTTCAGTCTTTTTTCAATCATCTCAGACCTGTAGATGTCTGATTTGGCTTGACATGGCAACCTAAGGCCCCCGTGTCATGGTAAAGTAATAATTCAAACATGCTGACTGTGTGTGTGTGTGTGTGTGTGTGTGAGGTGGGGTCTATTGTTGCTCTGCCATGTCTGTCTTCATCCCCTGTTTCCTCAAGCTTTTCGAGGTCATGGGAGCTTTTCTTTCGGAGATCAAGTCAATCACGGAGAGGTCAGAGAGGCGAGGCAGAGCCACCGCAGGCCCCTCTGCAGCCTGAGAGCGCAGAAAATCTCTGCTGCAGGTGACGGCAGAGTCGGCGATACTGTTACTGCTCTGCTCAGTGTGTATCGGCGCTTCTTACTGCCGGGATTACAGCTAAACACCCGCTGGAACCAACAAAGGCCCTCGGGGGTTAATAAGGCTTGTTTTCTGCAAACAGCCTCGGCTTCAACCGCGTGGCTGCACGAGTCTGCTAACTTTTCACTGCTTTGAAGCAATTACAGCACGATTAGGTGCACTTAAGCTCAATAAAATCATGAAAGGCGCAGATAAAGTCATTAATTTTGACTGTGGAAATAAAACCATCCCTTTTGTGCGGCCGGGGGAGGGGGGGCTCGTCCTTCTCAGCATCTCCCCCCAGTGGAGGAAAACCAGCAGAACACACAACCCAGTTCTAGCGCTAATTAATGTGCAGCCCTGGTGCTGAGTAACATGTGAAAATAAAAAGCTGGTCTTGCTGAATACTTGTGCAGAAAGTTAAATCCTCAGCAGCCCTGGCTGTGTGCAGGAGATTAAAGACACTCCAAGTGTTCTGATGTGAGACTTGGCAGGCGGAGTAAGAGTCTGGCCTCGGAGCATCCCTCATTTCTACACTCAACGGTCTTTATTCTTCAAGATGGAAAAGACATATCCACTGCAAGAAACATTTATAATAGGATCTCTAGCTGAGCTTTGCACTTTTCCTCAACCCATTTCAAGGGTTTTAGCGGGTGAATAATGGATATGTTTAAGAACAATGTCCTTCCATTTCTTTTTAAGCGCTTCGAACACCACGTCGTGTCATTTTTTTTGACAACTTGCAGGAGGCCAGGAAAGTCATTTACAACTTTTAAAATGCATCACATAAAGCTTCGGCAGCAGCAGCTCTGCATGAAGAACTTAATGTGAGAAAAGGATGTGCTTCTAAACAAGTGAGAACGTGGCAACAACATCACACATTGATATATTTTAAGATATACAACCACATCCTGTTTAGGACAACACTTTGTGCTGCTCAATATAGATATATTATAGACTATATTACTCCATCCTTATTGAAAAACCCTGGATCCTGTGATACTTTTAGTTTAGATGCGTGACTACGAGATGCAAAAGTTCTCTGGAGGCTTCACCATCACTCTGCTGTAGTTTGCGTATCGTGGAGCTCCACCTGGGTTTCTACGATGTCACCACGTCACCTGCTCAGAGTTTCAGAAAACTTTCAGCAGACGAAACAGCCGTCTCGTGTCAAACTCAGCATGTTTCTCTTCCTCATTTGTCTTCTGGGAGGACATCAGGTTTGCTTAGGAGGCTCCACAGCATCCACTTACATCTCGACTATTGTTAGCACATAACTATCTGGAGGTATCCGCCTACCTGCGAGCTCCAACTGGGAGACGGTGTTTCTTAGTAATTAGATGTTCCTCTCTGTGTAGTCCCCTCTGACCAATTACTGTTTGGCCCTGACAGTCTGCCTCCAGGAGCTAAGTAGGCAGCGCAGGAGACGGCAGCACGCTGACTGAGGGAGAAATACAAGCAGCTGGGCCTTCTGCTTCACCGCTGCCGGCTGCATTAGCTTAATTCTCTCCTCCACTGGGCAGATTTACACCTCCGCTCCTGATTACATCCTTGGAGAGATTGGATGTTGCTGCTTCTCTTGGAGCCAAAGTCACTGGGCTCACCGTGGGCTGCAGGGAGGTTAAACGTTCTCAACCTGCTGTTTGCAAGGGTGTCGTGTAAAAGGCAGTAAACTTAGCATGTGGAGAACTGTGAGATGTGGTTCTGTGAGGAGGGAGTAAGTTTAAGATGCACAAGTGCTGCTTCAGTTTGCTGAGGAGGCATCGTGGTGTCATGACTTTAAAATTCCAAACACACAAGCAGAAGGTTTATTCTGTAACGCGAGCAGGCTGCACTGACTGCTTCCTCCAAACGAGGGCAGCATTGCCTCAAACTTGAGAGCCTCGGCGGCACTAAATAAACCATTTATCAGCCACGCTGTGCAGATTTCTGGGAGGCAAAATATATCAAAATCCAGAATCTGATCAGTGCATTGATTTTAATCACACAGAAGTCAGGAAATACAGGGGCGTCAGAGTTTAAAGGGAAAGTGATGAAAAATGTTTCCCCGTCTGGAAGTTAACTGCACAGGAACGTTTTCAGGTTACCAACAATAATCCTACTATGCATTATGTACAGCAGCACCTGTAATAATAGTAAATATATTCTGCATTTAACAGTCCTGGAGGGAATTGTAAATTCAAACAGACCCTCCCTCTCCCTTAGTTGTGAGTTTGTCATAACATTGGTGGGAATGTGAGAAATGATCCGTCTATTTGCTATTTATGATGCAAAAGAGTTCAAAAACAGAGCCGGGATTAAAATGCTAAATCACAAAGATTTAATTCAGCAGCTCAAATCAATATTCTGCTCATGGGACAGCGTGCCCGTGGTGCTCCTCAGCTATTTCCATGTGATGCTGAAACTAGCAGGGAACTCTCATCAAACCAGTCCTCCACCCCCGATCTCCAGGCATGTTTCCTAGCAACACGTCCGTCTGGCTGCCTGGGAAAACCCAGTGCTTCATAATAGCCTCGGCTTATAGATCAACACCACTTGACTCTCTCCCTCAATGCAAGATAATAAACCTGTGTGCAGAACGTACACTTTGCATTTAGCTGCTCGGAAAACGCAGAACGTCACCTGACCGGCTCAGGTTTTAAACGG